GTTTCGGTGATAACTATTAGGGCATGGTCTGAGGCACGGGCGTCTTAGTTTGTGTCTTGATTTGTGTGTGATTAGGGTTGGAGGAAGCATGTAGATTAGCATACCCCTTCTTTGAGCGAGTTCGGCATACCCAGGCAGGGAAAAGGTGTGCAACGGGAAACGTGGGACATGGAGTTCATGGTGTTTTAAGTCGCGCCTGATGTACAGCTATCGGGGCAGCTATGGCAGGTATCTATAAATATCCTGCTAGGTAGTCAATGATGGCAGGGATATACATCCAAACATCGGCTTCCTTTTGTGTGATCCTGATGATTTTGCTCGAATTTGACAGCTCTAGTTGGCCTCTGTCTGTCAAGCACTGGGTGGGTTGGGCGAATATCGTCATTCTGCCCACGAACCGCAGTGAGAGGCAGCTCCGGGCACACTTGCAGGATCACAGGACCGGGATGTCTCCGGGCGTTAAGCTGTCGAATAGCCCAGGCTGTTACAAGCTCTCTCGAGTCGGTCAAACACATGGAAGGTTGGTTTCTTCTACCCTTCTCGAGACCCTGGCAGGCTCACTCAACAGTTCCCTTCTAAGCATAATGTTTGCTGCGCCGACGAGCGAAAGACTGAGCACTCAGATCTCAATCATCCCTTGACAGTCCGTGACCCAGCGAGTGCTACCGACCTAGAACCTCAACACCCCGATCCGGAGATCACGACGTCAACAAAAGCCCCGGTCATCCCATTAACCAGTTCTACGAACCACCGAAACATATGAGCCAACCCGTTCCATCCATCAATCCAAACTCAGTTGCCCCAAAACGGAAGAATACCCACACCAGCTACTCCACACTACGTCAGCCCCATGAACAAACAGAACAACCAACATCGGAAGAAAAGTACAAACAAGGAATGACATCATACCAGAAGAGCCCCCAACCACAACGGTGTTACCACCATTGCCACCAGCAGTGGTAGTGGCAGTGGTCTCGGCGGAAGGAGAAGGAGAGATGGTCGTGGAAGGGCTGGAGGTTGTTGTAAGAAAGAGAGAAGACTGTCGAAAGGACTGGAGGTTGGGCTTATAGAGAGATGGGAAGAAGATCACTGGGTTGTTGGCTGCGGTTATAACAGCAAAGCCGGAGGATGGGAGAGAGAATGGGAGGAAGGTGCGTCGTGTTTGGATACGTCCTGTGGTCTGCAATCGGGGCCGATAGGAGGACTCATGACCATCAAGGTGTTTTCGGACGGAATCGGGTACACCATCCGTTCGGTACCTGGTGCTGCTTCTTGGGGATTTTCGAGGAGTGGCATGCTGGTAGATGAACTGCCCCTTAACGTCCTGCTCGGCTCACGCTCTCGACTATGGCGTGGAATAATAGGACTCTTGCTGAGTGAAGCCATTGACATGCTTGGGATGGATCATGCGCAATGCCAAAAGGGAAGACGGTAAGCTTGTCGAAAGGCTTCACTCTGAGGTGGCCACTCATTTCTCATCTGGTAACTGAAAATATAGTAGTCATGGCTTGACGCTCGATAATGCCTCGTCGTGAGCGTTCAATTTGAGAGGGCTGTGATACGAGGAAGCCTCTAACGAAGGCTACATACATGCTTGAGTGAGCCTGTCATCAAGATCAGCGACGACATGCCCCGTGTGCGTAGTCATTCTCACAACCTTAAGAATAAGCCAGAATGAGACTCCAGCCCACAAAAAGATCCCACGAAATCACATGAACATCTATCAACCCCAAGATCTTTGGCTTAGGCCTATCCACTTCACGAAAAATGCGCCATCTCTATCGCTCCGCCTAGGATGGGGGCCAAGACATCGGCCAACTTTCCTGCAGCTTGCGAGTGCTCCCCGTCCGCGCCAGCACAGTCCAGAATCTCGTCGAACAAGTCCGTGAGTTCCTCGAACGGGGACTGGAAAACCCAGCCACCAGTCCCAGCATCAATCCCGAGGGATTCGCGAAACTCTTTAACGCCCTCGTAGCCTTGGCTGAGAATCGACTCAACCATATCCATCATCACCCGACTCTGGATGACAATCTCGCGAGCATGCCACTGTCTCGTCAGCGAGAATTCTAACCATTGGTAGTGCGACTTACGCTGCCTAGTCCCCCGCAATGACGGAGCAAGATGCCGTACTTTGTGGTCTCAGGATTGCAGTCATCCTCCTCCGCATCGTAACCATCCATTCTGGGGTGCTTGGGCCAATCGATCTCAGCATCGGGTGCGGACGACCAGACAAGATTAGAGCACCCTGGGAATCCACAAGCGCAGATGAGGTAGAGATTCTTGGTTTCTAGGCCACGGGTGACTCCGGAAGCCGCGCTTGAGTCCTGGTCCATGACATCGGGCCTGATACCGAAAATAAAAACGTACCGAGCACCGCGGGAGGTCTGTGTGGTTGTGTGATACTGAATGGCAGGAGAAGTGACTGCTTGAGAAGGCTGATCATCGTTCGAACCAAAGGACGAGACACTGTAAGAGGAGACACTGGTCGGTGAGTCGAAGAGGAAGCCGGGCGGAGACTGAGATGGCGAGTTGGGTCTCTCTTCATTACCAGCGGAGGAGTCACTGTTCGTGGGTGACGCCGGACCGCTGGGTAAGTTCATGTCCACTGGGACGGGCTCTGAGGCAGCCATGATGAATTGTTTGGATATCGTACCGGAGCTTGTGTTCTGGCCGGTGGTGGGAAGAGTTTGAGGAGAAGAGCTCCCCTACCTGTATAGGTCTGTATGAAGGGGCATTTATTACCACTTGGATGGTCACAAAAGCACCAGAATCATCGATTGATGCAAAGACAGGGGCGCCTGACCAGAGCCGTTGAAGGTGAGATAGAGGCAGTCGCATAGAACAAAATGTCTTTGTGAGTAGTATGAATGATAGCTTTGAGTGGTTGACTGTTTGCCGATGCAGGAAAGTATCACCTGGTTCAGGCAACACATCAATGAGAGAGGTAAGGCAAACTCTCCACAGAAAAAGAATGGAGGTGACAAGTACCCGGCGACCTGCTGAAGAGTGGGAAGGAACCAAGGGAAGTCGCACCCTGGCAGTCTTCCGCGCAGCCCGGAATTTTGTCTCACCTGCACGATCGTTTATTCTTGCCTTCCAAGACAAACACCAAACACAGAGCATCAGGTCACCGCCCGCCTATGAGTTGCAGAGTAACAAACTACTCCCAGCCCCGTGTCTCATTTGCGCTTTGCCCCAGTTATCACTCTCCTTTGAATGTCACCCGAGTTCCCTGAGTCAAAAAAACGCCAGCACTCATCCATCTAAAACAGTGATCCCGACGGCCGCCCGCGAAAGAAGACCTAGCTCCAAGCAAACAGTGTTGAATCACTCCCTGCTTGAGACCAACACATGCAACCCTCACGCGCCTCCTTCCCGTGAGCTCGCCCCGAAGCGTGTTAACTTACACCAAACGAAGCGGCTAACCACCATGAAATTCAAGCTGAAATGGAAACCCCAAGTGAGACAACCTGGACAACCTGGACAACCTGGACATCTCGCTATTGATAACATACAATCTTAAATGCAGCACAGTTGATAACCCATCCCTGGCAGACCCATCACCATCCCGCCCACTACCATTCGCAAGGTCTCTCGTCCCAAACAGATCGACCGCCGCCGCGCTCTTCCACGATACGGAGGCATCTTTTCCCCTGGTTGTCGAAATAGAAGTGACCGCGTTTCTTGGGAAAATCAAGGCAGAGCTCCCTCATACCCGCAAAGGGTCGCGAGTGGCAACCATCGCCGGCAGGCGCAAACGCGGCGTCTGGCTGGGGGTATGAGAACCGCCACACACCCCAGAAGCGACATTCGCTCTGGTCATCATGTGGCAAGCAAGCCGTGTTGACCTCAAGTGAGTCTGCGGCGACCGTAGCGGCTTGGAATCCGAATATGGTGAGGGCGAGGAAGGAAAGCTTCATCTTAACGACGTGCTACGGCCGTGTTAGCCATGTGACCATCACCTCCTATCCTGGTTCTTACTTACCCTTGGTAGCAATGGGGGATAGTCAACGGGTAAAGAGATGGCGCGCCGGTCAAGTACGAAGGTAATGTCAAGTGAGTAGGCTTAGCGCTGGCTTTATACCACGGATAGCAGAGCTAAACCCGTCGGGATCCATCATGGGAGATTAACTGTTGGCCGCATTGAGGCTTTGTATGAGGGACAAGACTCTATTGAGGAGACAAGGCGTTCTCGGAGTAAAACGGGTGATAGTCGGCCAATTCAACTATTGACTGAAGGATTCAGGAGCCAGCCGCGGGAATGCAACCAACGGCCCGCTGGATCCCAGAAATGGCAAGTAAATGCCACCGTCTCACACACTGACTCGGTGAAACCTGGTAAGTAATCCTCCCGGCTTTTGCCTCACGAGGTTATCATTGCTACCATATCATGGGCCTGGTCACCGTCTCGCCTTGGTAAAGCGGGGTGGTGGATCGAAGGATTCACGCGGTCTCAAACTGATAAATCCTCAAGGTCCTCACGATGGAACCCTACAGCCAATGCTCCTATTGAATGACACTTGAGGAGCCGTCAAAATGGGTGAAAAATGCATTCCTTCCCCGTAAACCACCAGGCCCGAAGGCCATCGCGCACCGCTTACTCACAACACATCATCCCACCCCCCTTTCCGCAACAACAACAACAAAAAAGGACCTCATTCCTATCACACCTCCGAAAAAAAAAGGAAGAAAAAAGAAAAAAAGTGATGTCCAGTTTCAACTGGAAAGGTTTTCATGCGTCAGCCGCGAATCGAACGCGGGGCCCATCGATGGCAACGATGGATTTTACCACTAAACCACTGACGCCTGATGGAGGTTTTACTTCACTCAACCCCCTTATACCGTGCCTCTTCCCGTTCCCATTGCCTCCACCCAAGCGAAAAAAAAAACAAGCCTCCAGTCCCCACCAAACCCTACCTCCCTCAACCTCTCCACCTTTACACACCCCCACCACACTCAAAAGCAGCTTTTCCGAACTCTTTCTTCAACAACAATCACAATCGGGTATGGTGTAGCGGTAACATCGCTGACTCTCATCACAGGTGAGATCAACTCAGCAGCCCGGGGTTCGACTCCCCGTATCCGAGATCCCAGGCATGACTTTTCATTCACCCCTTTCACAACTACGGCTCAGGCCCACCTGAGCAATGTAATCTTCCGTAGTATAGTGGTCAGTATGTGAGCTTGTCATTCTAGACATCGCTCGAGACCCGGGTTCAATTCCCGGCGGGAGAGGAGAAATGAAGCCTGTATATTTTTGCCTGCCCTCGAGGAGGGTAGGGGTACTTTTGTTGTCTTGGGGAGGGCGATGGCAGTTGGGAGGGCGGATAGAAGGGTGACTTGACTGGTGATGTATTTTCTTTGCTGTGTGGTATTAGTTGGGGCATGGCAAGTACGGGCTGAGCTTGCCAGGAGTTTTTGGAGTGAAGGTGAAGCTGGTGTTTAGTTCCCGTGTTTGGGTTCAGGGGCGCAAACAAACGTGTCACGTGTGGTTTCCGCAGGCACGTCTTGCTGACGGGACTTGAGGCGCCAGGATGCGATTGTATTGCTATTGTGTTCTCCTATCCTCCAACATCGACGATGATGAGAAACATGGCCAAGAAAACGTATAGTCATCCAGCATCATAACACTCATGATCCCTCATATCCTCCATTTTCCGCCACTGCATCTTCACGTCACCCCCCAAAAGACAAAAAATATCATTAAATCATGGGTTGTACAACAAACACCTTCCAATCCGACCCATTCCAGATACATGCAATCATAGTTTTGTCCTCCCTTCCCGGGGGAGGTGTATTTACATCACGAACAACAGGTTCGTGTCTGTTAGTATCATCTTGGTCAGTCCGGACATGCTTTGAATGTTGTTACAAGATAGCTCTCACCAAGCGGGTGACTACAGGAAAGCTGCGGCTTCTGAGTATAACGTGTCTGCAGCTCATCGCGGATGCTATTGAGCAGCTGCACGTAGCTTTGCTGCGGGTTCTTCTTGAGAGCGGTGATGAAAGCCCACGACATGGCTCCCGTAGCTTGCGAAGCGATGGTAGCATCGGCACTGGGATGTGTTAGCAATGCCCCAAATGAGCCTGACAGGCGAGGAAAGGAAATGAGCAATGACAGTGCCAACGTGACTCGTCGCCCCAGGCCAAATCACAGCCACCAGTTTTGGCTGGGATTGGACTGGAGCGGACATATGAGCCGGCAAATGCTAAGTACATAAAATCCTGGATGACGTCGTGTATGCATCCAGCCCAACCAAACGCCGTTGTTTCCTTTCCTGAGACCATGCACACAACAAAACCATCCGACATCATGGGCATGTAATCATAATAAAGGGGTATACGTACGATGTCTGATCATCCTTGCTCCCAGACAGCATAATAACATCGGCTGGCGAAGTTTTTGTAGCGAGGGCTCTGTCGCGGGCATCGTCGCCACCTGCGGCTTTCTTGAAAAAGCCCATGATATTGCTCGCCACGCCGCCCAGATCGCCTTGGCTATATGCGGAAATAACACCCAACAAGCCCTGGCCGGCTTCCTTGGCGAGATTGGGCTCCTTGAGGATGCCCTGGGTCGAATAGATGTAAGGGAGGTCGAGCGCGGTGCCGGAATGGCAAGAGTCGAAGATGGCCGTCAAGCGCACTCCCCCATGCAACGGGCGCACCATGATCCTGTGCATCTCATCGTCGGTAATGTGGCCAACTTGTCGGAAGTCGACCGGATAGATAACCTCATCGAACCCGTCTTCCTCATCGCCGTCAAGATCCTTGGTTTGACCGCCGTGGCCTGAGTAGTGGAAGAAGAGCGAGTCGTTGGGCCGGGCATCCTTGACCAGCCAGTGCATGGCTCTGAGGATGTTTTGCTTCGTGGGCTGGCTCATTGGGTTCTGCTGGTCATCTGTGAGAATGACCATGTCCTCGCGCTTGTACCCAAAATTTTCACACAGGTATGACGACATATTCCTGACGTCGTTAATACAGCCCCGAAGTTGCCCGCGCTGGCCAAAGTAGTTGATGCCAATTAGGAGCGCTTTCCTCCGACCGGTGCAGAGCGAGTATTGGAAAGCGTATCCCGGGGGAGCGCCGTATCCGAAGTGTTGCGGTGCTTGTGGCGGGGGTGGAGGCGCCGAGTGGTTCCCGTGGACGTACGAGTTCGAGTTCACCGATGGCATTGCTACAGATAAACATCAGCAAGGCTGTGTTGTTGGGGCGGCTTGGTGCACTCACTGGGCCGGCTATTGGCATATTGTGGTTGCTGGGGAGGATGGCTTGCATATCCCTGTGAAGGCTACATAATCAGTCCCTACCAAATCCACCGGTCTCGAATCACCAACCTGTTGGTAGCCGTACGGCTGCTGGGGTTGCGGAGGAGGTTGTTGGTATCCGTATGGGGCCTGGGGAGGAGGGCCCTGTTGGTAGCCATTGTAACTCTGGGGACTGAGAGCAATCAGATTCTGGACAGCCATTGAATATCGGGGACTCATACGGGTAGTGGTAGCCCGAGTATTGCTGCTGAGGCGGCGGCGCGCCATATCCGCCATGGCCGTAACTCGCACCTGGGTATCCAGACATTATACAGACGAGAGAAGGACCGGGACTGAGGAAACTTGGGCCGTTTTAGAGCAAGCGGCCTGGATGGCCTCTCTCGTGTGGGAGAGGGATCTCGGCTTGGATCGGGCTGAGCGTGGTAGGACAGACCACGGAGGACGAGGGCGCGTTGGAGTTTATAGACGCGTAGTCTCGGAGGGTCGCAGATTTCTCGATGGCGGAGCGTTTGAACCGCGACTGCGAAGACAAGGGGTGTGATTTCTAGCGAGCCGCAGTACTAGTGAGCATTGGCACAAGCCCCAAAGCGGCAGGAAATGGAGGTATAGCTCGAATGCACCGGCGCGTACCGAGGGGGCGGTCAAAGGTCGAGCTCTTGACGTGAGCTAGCCTGCGAGTTAGCAAGGAATGGCAGGCTTACATGCAGCAGCAAGCAGGAGGCTTGGGTTTCGGGAGACAAGGGTCTGAATCGGGATGTGACTCCGTGATGTTGGGCAGGCGGGAGGTCGAGGAGGCGGAGGACGTGGACGCGGACGGGGCTGTCAAGCTGCGTTGAAGGAGGGGAAGAGTGTCTCTCCGGAGAAGCAAGGAGAGAAAGGGTGGGGTTAGCCCAATGCGGGCGCGCGTTTGCTGATTGGTTGTTGCTCGACTGCCCGGCGCCCCGGTCAGGATCCCCGCCAAGCGCAACGTGGGACCGTGGATCTCAGACGGGCCCAGGGAAAAAAAAAAAAGCATCAAAAGAAAAAATGCCGAAAGCGAACACCAGCTCGTGAGTCGCCTGCCTGAGCGCGCGCCTGAGCGAACAAACCCACAACTATCCGTCTTACCCACTGCGTCCCTTGGACTCCGGCGGTCAAACGTCAGGATTCATCAATTCCGGCGAGCACGATGTCCGCGCCTGACAACTCATCGAGCCCATCTCGGACATGAATCCAGTGAGTGCCCAGCACGGTTCACCTGTTCGACACTATTGTCTTGTTGCACATCGGAGCAGTCCAAGTTGGCAGCGACAAGCCGCGCCACCCATCTGTTGCTACGAATTCACACAGAGCCGAAATTGTGCCATGAAAGTGATACCAGGGCCCTTCACACAGTTGGCAGTGGTGGAACGTAGCGTCCTTCGATATCGTATGCTCACCAGTCCCGTCGCTGCTTTTCCGCAGGGTCCACGGCCAGCTGGCAGACATTCCAGGCCTTCCATATATCGAATCCAAAGCGGTTAGCTCCGGAATCAGCGCCGGGTCGTCATTGGCTGCCGAGGGTCCAGAACGCGATGTGGCGCTGCTGAAAACCCCCTCTGACCATTCACAGATGCCGAATTCCGCAGGGGTGTATGCTTGGCTCGACATCAAGCTTCGACGCCATCAAGTCTCCTGCAGCAAACACACCTCATGTCAAACCCGCGACCCGTTTCAACAACCACAACAGCACGCGTTTTCCGCCATGGCAGGACCCCCAAAGGAATTTGTGTTTCAACTCCCCGCGAGAGAAAAAAAAAAGAGATGGGGTTTCTTTTTTATTCCCAGCGCTCATTTCCACTTGGGACGTCGCTCCTGCTCGGATTCCTCCGTCCCGAGGAGTGGGTTCATCAGTGGATATGCTCGGCCCGGCCGGTCTCCATCAAAATCCGGAGCCAATGGAGGGGATGCCGACCTTCCGACCGGCGACCGCAGCATCGCCCGCATCACGAATCCGCAATTCCCGCAACGGCACTTGATGTTGATCTGCGCCGGATGAAACCATCAGCCTTACCGTACCCCATGTGACTGATGCCCATGGCAGCTGCAACACCGACGCTGCCCAAACGCATGCCGCGAAGAAAGCCCCTTTCTGCACGGTCAAACGCCTCTCGAAACATTGCGTGTTACCCTGCCTCGACGTGGCATCGGGGCACCGCCACCTTACCATCTCGTCGGCGTCGCTGGATGTCGGATGTGACGCTAGGCTACATGCCGGCGACGATCATCTACTGCATCGGTGAGCTAAACCACATCACTTGCAGCTTCGTCATCCCACACCCTTCGAACCCTAAAGCCTAAATCCTTGGAGGCCTTAGAAGAGCGGAGCTATCGGCCCGTTCTAACCCACAACGTACCTTCTCCGCGCTGCCGACTTCTAAGCCACACCTACTTTGTCCCCCAGACGGCTGGAACAAGCTTCTGCTGCGGCACCGGAGATGTTTACCAGATCCTCGGGTCGTGCCCGATGGCGGTTGGAGTCTAGTCTGTGTCTTTTCTGTCTCTTTGACGGCCTCCGTCCCCGTTGGGCCACCATCTGTGCTTTGCCAGATCTGAGTCTGTGACACCATCACTGCCGTAGCCCGGACCCGTAAACGTTGTGTGACGAGAAGCAACGACGCTTGTCCTCACGTCAGGAGTATAAACAATGATGGGAGGCCACCGGGTAAGCTTTTTCGTCTGTAGACGTTGACTGGACCATTGATCTTGACCACGCCAACCTGGCAAGCTGAGGACAGCTGTGATACTCGCCGATGAGGCAGATTTACGCTGAGGAGTCAGGATGACCCGGCTATGTGGCGCTT